AGTTAATGTCTTCTTTCTCACAATTAACGTGAGAGTACATCTCTCATTGCTCAGGTGCTCCAGAGGTCAAATCAGACTTGTCAAAGGCCTAGATTCACAAAATGAAAATAGGCTAAGCTTCCAGTTCTAGTCGTTGTTGTCGTTGACTGCTGTCAAGTCGAGTACAACTCATAGCAACCCTATGAACAAAAGACCTGAAGCCTTTTTAGAACTATCGTCATTTCTCAAAGTTCATAGAATTTCAAGAGGCATGTTATTTAGGAAGTGGATGCCACTCCTGCTTCCAATCAAGTTCTAGTAGCCAAGCTGTTAGAGAGTCAGTGAACAAAGAGGAAGACCCTCAATGAGATGGTCAGCCAGCCACAGAGGGCCTGCATCAGAGGGCTCAGAAAGCAATGATTGTGAGGGTGGCACAAGACTGTTGTATACAGGGTCCCTCTGAGTAGAAATGACTCAATAGCATCTAACAACAACAAGCTGACCCCAACTTGAGATCTGATATGTTCATAAAACATTACCTCACACGATGGGAAACAACAGAATCAAAACAAAACACAATGGCCTCATTTCTTTTAAGAATTGCCCAAGGGAGAGTAACAATATTTCTTCACTCTATTGCTCCTTCTGATGCTCCTTTTCCTCCTCTGGATCCCCTAGTTAATTCCAGGTACTTCTCCACGATCTAGACCTCCAACAGTAGAGGAGGAAGGCAGATAGTTCCATCTAGACCAGCACTACTCAATAGTGCATCCTCTGTGATACCCTGTAACTGCTCTGTTCAACACAGTAGCCACTAGCCACCAATGAAAGCCTGAAATGCTGCTGGAGTAAAATAAGAAACTATACTTTGTTTTAAAAAATGTAACATTAAATAGCTTCACCACCACCATGCTGGTTTTCCCTCAGTCCAAAATTATTTGTCTGTCTGTCTCTGTCTGGCTTATGTCTCAACAGAATTAAAAAAAAAAATTTTTAAAAAAAGGAAAAAGAAAAGAAATATGGGCCATTTGGGCCAATTCTACTTAGCTGTCCAGCTCTGCCTGAGCTCAGACTCTCTCCTGCCTGATATTTTCACAGGATGTTCTGGATACAGGTGGGTCCCCAGTGGGCCCTTTCCCTGAGCTCTCCCTTCTGTCACCAGCACCATCATTTTCTCTGTCAGCAAGATTTGTAATCCAGCGATGTGCACACCCTTCTTTTTTTAAAATTTTTTAATTTATTTTATTTTATTATTTATTATTGCACCCCTCTTCTCGGGCTCACAGCACCAATCAGCCATCCATCTCTTTCATCTCACAACTTCCTTTTCCCAGGCCATCATCATCTCCTCATCTATTATCTCAAGAGCCTCCCAGCTTCCCACCTTTCCCAACCCAATCGAGTCTCTGCACTTGACCAGGTTAAACCAGAGTGTCATTGCTCCTTGCTCAAAAATTTTGAAAAATACAGGTCTCAACTGGTTAAACAGGCATTTAAGATCTTCGCTTATTGGCCTTACTTGCTCTCACCATTCCAATACTCAAAGAGCTCAATATGAACAGACAAGTTCCCCACGTATGCAACCCTCAATCCTGCATCCAGCCCCTCCTATTCTCCAGTCCCCTCTTCTTTAAACCACATCTTCCCCCTACCTCCTCCATGAAACCTCTCAACCACACCAACCCTCCAGGAGTCTGAATTCTGAGAGCCTTCTTGTCTACCTAACTTGTCTGGTACTATAACAGACATTACAATGCTCTGGGAAAAGCATAATCTTTGGCTATTCTAATGGTGCTATCCATTCAGCCCTCAGTATGGAATACACCTCAACATAAAGAAAACAAAAATCCTTACAACTGGACCAATAAGCAGCATCATGATAAATGGAGAACAGACTGAGGTTGCCACAGGTTGAATTTTACCTGGATCCACAATTAACACCCATGGAAACGGCCGGCAAGAAGTCAAGACAGCCTTGCAGTTATCATGCACCACTGAGCCAGAACAGATTCACAGCTGACCTTCCAGCAGGTTTTCAGATGTGGTAAATTGTATAGGAGTTGATTGTTCATCTTTCACAGAGCAACTGGTGGATTCAAACGGCATACCTTTGTGCTGGCAACACAATTCCTTACCACTAAGCCACCAGAACTCAAAAGACAGACAACATTGGGCCAATGTGCCGCCAAAGACCTCTTTAAAGTGCTAGAGAGAGAGCAGATTTTTTTTCAAAAAAGACTAAGGTGCACCTGACCTGAGCCATGGTATTTTCAATTGCTTCACAGGCATGTGGAAATTGGACAGCAAGTAAGGAAGACAAAACAATAATTGATGCCTCTAAATTATAAGATTAGTGAAGAGTACTATGGACTGCCTCCCCCGCAAAAAAGGAAAATCTGTCTTAGAAGAAGTGTAGCCAGAGTGTTCCTTGGAAACAAGGATGGTGAGGCTTTTCTTACATACTCTGAGCATGTTACCAGGAGCCAAAAGTCCAAGGAGAAAGACATCAAGCTTGGGAAAGTAGAAAGGAAATAAAAACCAGGAAGACCATCAACAAGATGGATTGGCACAAGGACCACAGCACTGGGCTGATGCACAGCAGAGATTGTGTGGGAAGTGCAGGGTCTGGCAGGGTTTCATTTCTGGTACACAGAGTCACGATGAGTGACTTGACAGCACATGGTAACAACAGAAACAACAACATCAACATCCATTTATCACCTGTTACGAAACCTCAAGCAAATCACTTGTTTCTGCATTTATTAAATGGGAGTAACACCATCGAGCTTGCAGAGAAGTGAAAAGGACAAACAAATGAAAGCCAAAGCTGTCAAAAGCCTCACACGATGCCCAGGACGCAGCAGCTCTTCAGCAACTGCTAGCTCGTCTTCCTCTTCTCCGTCACTCCTAATCCTCTACTGCTCTGAGCATGATGATCACCATTTACTGTCTGCCTCTAACAACTAGATATGATATCTAGTGCTTTAGGTATTATTTCCAATCAATTATTGCCTTCCTTTTACAAATAAGACTTTTGAGACCTAGGACAGACAGCACATGTGCTCAAAGACAGAGAGCCAGTAAACAGTACGACCTCCAGCCAGCCCTCTGCAAACATGAGGAGGACATCTTCAATAAGCTGTAGACTCCCAGGGCTAGAATAAAAGGGTTAAACCTGTCTGGATCACAAGTCAAAAGTACCACCATGATTTCTACACCAGATGTGTGGGTATGAGGTTGTTACTCTGGGTGGAGTCTGTCCTGCCCTGCCTGAGAATCCACCAGGTGCAGGGAGAGTCATTCCCTCTTATCTGTTTGGTTATTGGCTTTTGCAGTCCATTTCGACACACTAGAAGAACCTGCAAAACTGTTTGAGCAAAATATTTACAAGTCATGTGCATCAAAATATCCAGGAGTTCAAGCTGACTGGACCCTGTTCCATGACTCTCTTAGTCTCGAGCTGCGAAACACATACCAGCAGTGGGAATACATTCAACTCATGGGAAGCTAAGCAGATCTGGAAACAACTAACTAGAATCTCAGTCAGGCCGTGTTCATGACAATGACGACACTATTACTAATTAGCATGTTAATAAATATTTAAGGCTTACTACATGCCATGGCAGGTACTATTTTAATCAACTCATATATATTTCATTTCCAAAACTCTTCTGTGAAGTAAGCATGATGATTATCACCACTCTCCAGGCCAGAAAATAAAGCCAGAAAGGTTAAGTAACCTGCCTGAGAGCACACGGTAAATGGCACGGCCAGGATTAAGACCTAGAAAATCTGAGACATAATATGGTGCTTTTTTTGTGTGTTGTTGTTTGCAGTTTAATTGTTGAGGGGGAATATAACAAATAATTTGCCATTTCAACATTCTTTAAGGAGTGTGCTTTTATCAATAAATTGTATGACCTGTCTGATAAATGAGTTCAGAAAGTGTTTCTGCAGAGGAAATTACTTCAGTAAAAGTCCACTTGTGACTCTATAAGGTTTGCAGACTCACAGCAAGTGTTCATTAAGTCATAACTGCTAATAATAATATTCATAAGTTTAGGCCCAAATTGTAGGTCTTTGAATACCATGTGGTATTAAAACTTCACACTGATGGAAAAGAAGACAGGTCTGGTAACTCTTAAAGAATCTATAACGCTGAGTACAATTAAAAAGAATGGAAAGAATAATTTGCTTAAGCTAAAAAACTATGCCTAGTTTTCTTCTGGATCTTTTGTTTGTTTGTTTGTTTCTACATCAAAATTAAGTATCATCTGTGATAAAAAAATGTATATGAACTTTTTAAGTAAACCAGTATAAAATAAAAATTTCATTTAAAAAAAAGTATGACCAACTTCTTTGGTATTTAAAAAGGGCAGAAAATATCTCTAAACTACATCATCCCATACCCATACAAATCAATGAACCCTGGCCTCAAAACCATTCCCACCCTAGGAAATCCAACTGAGGTACGCAAAACCAAAATATGATGGCTTAGTTTTCAACAAGGAAGACTACAGTGTGATTATCTCAAGGCAGCAGGTCAGAGGTGACAGGCCACTAGAAAGATAACTTGCCATTTCCCCCCAGCAGTTGGCCCTCGCTGGGCCTTCTGTGAATTGTCTGTGGTCTGATGATAAAGCTGAAAGAGAAGTGGGCAAAAGCAAATCAGGAAGAAGGGGGGAAGGGCAGTGAGAAGTGCCCAAAGAGGAAGGGGGTTGGGGTTCTTCAGACCACAAAGAACTTGAGGTTACAAATTGTATGGTTCTCTGCATACAGGGTGTCTATGTATCGGAACCAACAGCCCCAACAACAGCAACCATCAAATTCTACCAGATACCTAAGAAGTCCTGGGGAAGTACTAGTTAAGCACTTAGCTGATAACCAGAAAGTTGGTAGTTTGACACATTCAGCTACTCTGAAGAAAAAAAGTCTGCTCCCATGAAGATTACCACCTCGAAAACCCTATGGTCACTCTATCACGTGAAATGGTCATGAATTGAAAATGAACACAATAACACCACCACCTCAAGCACCAAGCTTTATAGGTTAGCATTTGAGAAAGGTAAAAGATGCAAAAATGGCATATTTGAGATTATAAAAATGTAAAACAAGAGTTGGAAAAGCATAGACTTTATCCAGAAATAATAAGCATGCAAGTCTGAAGAAATGAAGGTATCAGATTAAGACTAGAAATGGAAGATGGAGCCAGGCTTGGCAAAACTTGAGCATGAGTTGAACACTGCACTAAGTAATCTGAACTTTACTTTGTTGGCAGTATGGTGTGGCACAACATTCAGGTTCCTATATAAGTTTCTCTAGAGAACTGAAGACCAATAATGTCAGTCTGGAGAATAAGGTACACGTGATCCAGGCCATAGTCTTTGCAATTACTTGCTATGTAACAGAAAGTTGGACAATGACTAGGGATGATAGAAGGAGAATTGATGCCTTTGAGCTGTGGTGCTAGAGAAGAGTACTAAATATATCATGGACTGCTAGAACAACAAACAGGTTCATCCTGGAGAGGGTGAGACCAGGCTGCTCATTGAAGGCAAGAATTCTGAAGCTTTGTCTGACACACTTTGGACATGTTCCAAGGAGTTCCCAGTCCTTGGGGAGGGCTCATGCTTGGGAGGGTAAAGAACAGCAGCACAAGGGAGGAGGACACTTGATGAGATGGATTGGTTATTGACTGGGGTAACGGGGGTAGGTGTGTCAGAGATAATAAGATTGGCACAGAATAGAGCAGAGTTTAGGGCTGTTATACATAGGGTCGCTATAATTCGCAAGCAACTTGGCATCACATAACAACAATATAAGTTTCAAAGTTCTATGACACAATGATGTTACATTTAAAGATTAAGGTGCACCTAATTCAAGCCATGGTCTTTTCAAATACTTGCTATGCATCTGAAAGTTGGACAATGACCAAGGATGACAGAAGAATTGATGTTTTCAAGCTGTGGTACTGGAGAATAGTACTGGATATGTCATGGACTGCCACAAAAACAGATAACCATGTCTTGGGAAAGATGCAATCAGGTGCTTCTTAGAGGCAAGAATAATGAAACTCACATACCTTGGGCATGTTATTAGGAGAGGCTAGTTCATGAAAAGGACACCATGTTTGGAAAGATAGAGCGTCGGTGAAAGAGAAGACACCGAGGAGGTAGACTGACACAGCAACTTTAAAAATGGGCTCCAGGGTATTAAAGATGGTGAGGATGGTCAGGATAGGACAAGGTTCAGATCTGTTGTTCATCAGGTTGCTATGGCAATGGGCAGTATTCAACTCGATGGCACCTAACACCACCACCAATGTAAGTTCCTGGCAAAATCACTCGGATAATAAGATACTAACAAGGAGCATGAAAAATCTCTAAATTTTTTATTTATTTATTTACTTATTTTTATTTTGTATGTGTACCATCAAATTGGATCTGACTGGTACAGGAGGAGATTGCCCCTGCTGCCCCATCCATCTGATGGATTCGAACCACGTACCACTGGGATTACAGTGCAGCTTCTTGCCACTTGGCTACCAGAGCTCCCTATGAAAAAAAAATCTTTAAATAAATTTCCATAATAAATTTTTGAATAAATAAAAGCAGATAGGAGAAATACTGCAGAATGGTCAGAATCTGGTTATTGGAGAGAAGAGTTGACTAAGGTTTTCAGTGACTGCATTAAGAGAAAAGAAACTGGAGGGAGGGAAAGAGTGAGGAAGATAATGAGGGTCAGTCATATTTGGAAGAAGTTCACAGAGGATAGTTAAGGTGGCAGCCATAGTATCTCAACTCTTGTTATTGTTGTTAGGGGTCCTTGAGTAAAGTACAACTCATGCGATCCTGTGAACAACAGATCCTATCCTGTGCCATCCTCATCATCTCTGACACTTTTGAGCCCATTGCTGCAGTCACCATGTCAATGCATCTTGTTGAGGGTCTTCTTCTCTTCTGCTGACCCTCCACCTTTCCAAGCATGATGTCTTTTCCTTTCCCAGGAACAGCCTCTCCTAGCAACATGCTCAAAATATGTGAGATGAAGCTTCGCCATCCTTGCCTTCAAGAAGCACTCTGGATGCACTTTTTCCAAGACATATCTGTTTGTTCTTTTTGGCAGTCAATGGGATATTCAGTACTCTTCCCTAACACTAAAACTCAATGGTATCAATTCTTCTGTCATCCTTATTAACTGTCCAGCTCTCAGATGCACAGCAAATGGCTGAAAATACCATGGCCTGAATCAGGCACACTTTAGTCTTCAAACTGACATCACTGCTCCTCAGTAACTTGGAGAGGTCTCTGACAGCAAAGACCTCTCATAGTGTCCTGATCTCCTGAGAGCTAGTACTAAGGGCGTTGACTGTGGATTCAGGTAAGATGAAATTGTTGACAATTTCAACCTTTTCTCCATCTACCATGATGTTACATATTGGTGGTAAGGATTTCTGTTTTCTTGATGTTGAGATGCAATCCATATTGATGGTTGCAATCTTTGATCTTCTGCAGCAAGAGTTTTAAGTTCATCTCAACTCTGAAGTGGGCATTTTTAGCTTGTTTCACAAACCGGAAAAAACAAGTTTTTAAAAAGTCAACTGTAGAGTCAATTCTAATCCAGGGTAACTCCAAGTGCACTCTACAGGATTTTCAGTGACTGAATTCTCAAAACTAGACGGCCAGGCACCTCTGGATAAATTCAGAGTTCCCAAAGGAAAGAGCCTCAAATGGTTTGGTGCTCCTCAGGTTCTCAGGTTCTGTGTGAGCTTCTAGGAGACAATATTCTCTTAAAAATAGCATAGAGGAAAGTGAAGAAAATTTCCAATACAAAACATTTCAGATTGAAAACACCTAGGTTCCCATTCAATTAGACACACAGTTTGTTTCAATCCTCATCCTCAGCATTCCAAATAAATACAGCCTCTTCTCATTCACATTTACTAGCTGCATTTCACATATGTATCAACCAGCAAAGTTTACAAAACAGAGTATATTTTAAGCAGCAAAGGAAACATGCAAGCTGGCTAGTGTCTATGCTATATCCTTCCTCTAATAAATATTGATGCCTAGCTCTTCCTGAATTGCCCATCCCTGAGGATTTTTCTGGGTAAAGCTCCACTTCTAACTGAATGTTAAGGGTCACCTCTCTTGCTCTTGATTCTCACTGTAGAATTCCAGAACAAACTGTTTTCAGAAGGAGGGGGTGGAAGAAAGTCTTCAGGGTATTCTCCTGTTGAGAAACAAACACCAAGTTAAAGGGGAAGAAGGAGGAAAGTGGAGAGAGGAAGAAATGAGCATTGTACTCTGTTGTTTAAAGAAACAAAGTGACCTGAACAAAATGTATTTGCTTAGAAGCTGGCAGCCCCATCCTCACCCCAGAAGGTAATGGGAGGCTATTTCTACCTCCAGGATATTCATAAGCAAATTCCTTTTCTCTTTGCTAAAACAATGTTGTTCACATAGATTTTACTTATACTGACAGAGCAAGGTCTCAGAATTTCTGAAAGAGAGACAGCAAAAGGAGTGAGAGAAAGGAGAAATTAACCAATCTAAGGGCTATTTTTCCAACATTCTTTCTGGCTTCTACCCCAATCTAGGTTGTCCTTTAGGCTACCCTGAGATAAAAATAGCCTTCATTTCCTTTCTCAGGCCACACAGACTTTAATGCTTTGTTTCCTGGGTCCAGGGGAAAAATTACTCAGAACACATTTCATTTTAATTTGAGTTACTACAACGCTGGCTCACTTTGAATCAACCATGGAACAAGAAAACCACTTCAAATAATCAAATTTGTTTGCTATTACCACTTTGTTAAATCAGCCTGGTCAGAATAGCCCCACGGGACTTCTGAGTAGCTGTTTCTTTTCTAGTGTATAGCTCCAGAACACGGCTCCAGGTCTTTGCATGTGCCTAGGCTGGAATTCTGGTCATCACAGATAAGTGCTGCCATGCAGGATACTCAAGGATTTTCTGGGCAGGGGCGTCTTCAGTTGTTAGACAGAAATTTTGAGACATTTCTCCACAGACAGACTCCATTCTTCATAAAGAAAAAGCTACACAAACAATTTTTTTAATTTCTTTTTTTTCCCAAAAAATATTTTCATGATTAGCATTATTTTTTTAAAACAACAGAAAAGGCCCTGCCTACAACAGTTACCATGTATATACCATGCAATAGCAGGCCATGGTCTTTTCAAGTGTTTGCTCTGCGTCTGAAAGCTAGCTGGATAATAAATAAGGATGACAGAAGCACTGATGCCTTTGAGTTGTGAGGCTGAAGAAGAGTACTGAATATCCCATAGACTGGTAAAAGAACAGATTATGTCTTGGAAAAAGTATAGCCAGAGCGCTTCTTGGAGGCAAGGATGCTGAAGTTTTGCTGCATATGCTTCGGGCATGTTGCTAGGAGAGGCTATTCCTTGGAAAGGGACATCTTGCTAGGAAAGGTGAAGGATCAGCAAAAGAGAGGAAGATTCTCAAAGGGATGGACTGACATGGTGACAGCAGCAATGGGTTCAAGTATGTGAGAACTTCTAAGAATGGCACAGAATAGGACAGGGTTCAGGTCTGTTATTCATAGGGTTGCTATGACCCATACTTGACTCAACAGCACTGACAACAATAGCTACCTGTCTGAAGCCGGTGCCCTACCCAGGTGTCTTTACAGGTAGAGAAATCAGGAGGATCAGATGAACAGTTTGGCATGCAATTAGAGCTTTACATTCTCACTTTCACATCACAACAGCCTCAGCTTAAAGGCTCTTTCTACTATAACCCTTACCAAGCTCTCACTCTGTTGCTGTTGACTTCGATCTGTGGTGACCCCAAGTGTACAGAAAGGGTGTGTGTGATCTTTCAGAAGCCAATGGTGAGGCCTGTCTGTTAAGCTATGCTTCTGGGTGGATATGAACTACCAACATCTCAGCTGATAGTCGAGCAGGTAACGCTCTGCACCACCCAGAAATTCCTATGTGTGCACTGACACCCTGAATTTAGCAGAAACAAGTTAAAGAAAGACAAGATTCCCCTTGACCCCCAAAATAATTGGCCTTTAAGGTGAGTCTGCCCCAAGTTCCCATCATAAGGACCATTGTGCTGCTACACTCCGACCTCTATTTAGGGACTATCACTGTCCTCTCTACCAGAACGTTGGCTGCTGGGGGGCCTTGCTGCTTTCTCTGCGCTTCACAAATCGGACTCTAAGCAGACTTGGTTGGTTCCCCAGATTGTCTAAGAAGAGTCTATTTTGATCATATGCATATAGAAAGAACCAAATCTACTATCTGTTTCCGTACTGAATCAACCCAGGAATCAGAGGCAGCCCAGAGAGTTCCTCCTACCAGTTGTACAAGAAATACCTCTCCTCTGAGGTCAGAGTGACCTGAAACAGTGGTGACTTGGGCAGGCTTGGCGCCTTAGTATCACTTCTTATGCATTTTAGCACAACAAACTTTTCTCTCTAAGTGCCATGGAGTAGAAATGGACTCACAGCTGACTCTCCAGCAGGTTTTCCAAGGCTGTAAACCACATGGGAGGAAAGTATCCAATTTTCTCCCTGGAGCCACTAGCTGATCCAAACCACCAGATGGGTACCACCTTTGAGTTACCATAGCAACTCCCTATGGACTATACCACCAGAGCTCCCTAGAAGCAACTTAGTGATTAATAATGTACTATTTACCACAGATGAGGACAAATACGTTTAAACTGAAAACCAAAACCTTTACACTAATTCTTCACTAGATGTGACCAGTTGTTGCTTTCTGAAAGGAAATGAAAGATTCAGAGACTCTTCCTTGTCTTTTTCTCACCAGAGGCAGGTCATGGTGGTTGTTACTGTGTACTATCCAGTCAATTTCTGACTTAGGCGGGCCCTGTGTGATGGAACAGAACTGACCCGTGGGGTTTCTAGGCTGTAATCTTTAAGAGAACACATAACCAGGTCTTTCTCTCTGAGAGCCACTGGGTGGATTCTAACCAAAAACCTTTCTGTCAGCCATGAATGGCTTAACCATTGCACCTGCAAGAGCAGGTAATTGGTTTCAAAATTGGCCTAATCTCACATTATTCACAATAGCAGAGATGGAAGCAACTCAAGTGCTCATCAAAAAAAGAACAGAAAAACTATGGTACATAGTGGAATACTACACAGCACTGAAAAACAATGAAATAGTAAAACATTACACAACATGGGGGAGACTTGAGGACATTACGCTAAGTGAAATATCTTAGTCACAGAAGGATAAATGCTATATAACACTGCTGTTATAAAATAGGACAGACGTGGGGGGAGTTGGAGTGGGATGTGGGAAAGTGGATAGATAATGAATACTGCATTAGAATAGATGGGGGAAATAAATGAGAAGGGGTAAAAAGATTAGATGAGAGGAAAAATTGAAAGGAACATATGATTATGCATTATATGTATGAGAACAATCTGGAACAAGGGGTGCATTGCAGCGTGGGCTGGTGGGGGAAGGAAATGTGCAACAACAAATACAAAAAAGGTGGCCTAATCTCTCAGGAAAGACCTCTAATGGAACCCACCTCCTTAGGCCCGTCCTCCACAAATGTCCGGATTCTAGAAGTTTCTCGAGAAGGGACAAATGGAGGATATGCTCTTCATTTTAAACTCTCAACCACCCCACCAGAGCCTCAGTAGGGCATGGAAACTGAAGCAACTGCTGTCTCAAGATCAGCCCTTCAAGTTGAGTTCTGATTGAGATAAGCCCACAAGAGAAGCAAGCCAAACTGCGGGCACCACCATCAGGCTCTTCGCCCACTTCGAAGGAGAAGCCGAAGCACTGAGGAAGTCCTCTGCACATCTAGTTCCCTCTCATTTTACAATCACTTGTGCTAGATAGCTTCCTCACCCCCTTCATAGTTTCCACGCCTGGTCACAGTAAGTGCGGTGCTGGCAACACTCGACACAGCTCCTGACCAGACTCTTCATTTCTAACAAGTGGCTGAGAAAGGGTACCCGTGGCCTCATGGGAACCAGTGGCCTGCCAAAGCTCACACGTCACACGAGCACACCCAAGGGAAACACACTCCAGGTAGCCCTGGAAAGAAAGCTTGGGGACAGACAGAAATGACAGTAGTGTGCCTTGAAAAGCACGGGACTGACCCAAATTACTGCAGTAGCTTCTCCCTCTACAAAAGACAAACTCCTGCTCAACAATCAGTCTTTTGTGTTGCACTATCCATCAAGGACCAAAAGGGGGGGGGGGGTAACACCACAACTAAACAACCTGGTGTCTTTCACCTGTAACCTCAGCCTGGATTCCAATACCAAGGGTGGACATGATTCTGCAGGCATCGGGGGCATTTACTCTTATAGGGGCTACAGAGAAGGATGCCCGCATACACTTCACACTCTGTCCAAAGATGCAAGTGCACACACACTCACACACACCCCTCTCAAACTCTGAAGGCGAAACTCAGCTGGAGAAACTGAAGCTTAGAAAAGGGCACTGACTGGTCCTTAAGTCACACTGCGAATCTAGAATGGAGCCCTGAGTAGTCAGACACCTCCGTACCCCCTTCCCCGGCCGCCTGCCCCCACCACGCCGGCTGAGAATAACATCCCTAACGACTAACATCCCCACCGAACTTCAACCCCAGTTTCCCCGCCTTAGTAAGACCAGCACCTTGCTCTTCGCCCCTGCGGCCACCGGTCCAAACAACAGACCCTGCCTGGGCCTGGGCCAGGCCTACCTCCTCTCCCAACCTAAACCCCTAGCCCGGCTTCCCACCCCGCAGCAGACCTGCAGAGTCGCGCTCTCGAGAACAGGCGGCGGCAGACATTTCCTCGCCGGGTTTCACCAGCACTTCATCCTGCAGCTTACCCGCTCCGCCCGCTCTACTCTCCAAGGGACCTGCCCACGCGCGCCCCTTCATCCAATCGAAGGCTTCGTCGGCCCCTCGCCTCGCCCTAAACAGAGCAGAGCCCGCCCCCTGAAGCCAGTTCTCCTCCAATCGTCATCGCCTCTTCTAAGACGGATATCTTTCTCAGCCAATTCTCGCTCACCCCAGCCAGGTACCTGGGGCGGAGTTCCAACGCCGCGTGGTGGGTGGTGACTCCTGAGATTCCAGCTCCAGCTCTGTCCCCCGGTATGGAGACAGCCACAGGAACTCAGGATTCGGAGTCGCGGGATCGAAACCTGTGGCAAAATATGGAGGGACAACTCAGCCTGGGCTTTAGAAGCCACTTCCACTTCTGAATGACTATAAGCAAATCAATCTCCCTTGGGAGTCTCCAAGCCTATTTTCCCATGTTACAGAGTCATTCTAAGAAAGCAAACGTGCTAATCGCCTTCATTAAAAACTACCTCCTTTGCCATGAGAACAGAATTGAGTGTTGTCCGGCTTCTATTGTTGAACATTTTGATCAGAGATTCTACAGAAGAATTCAAGTCAAAAGGTAGGAAATGAAGACCAGAATTTAAAAATTCTATGGATATTTTGGGGCCAAGGGAGCTGGATGAAATTAGTAACCTGAGATAATCTTTAAAATTTAAACCAAAAACCACCGAAGTCTTCTGACAACCAAATAGTAGCCTATCTTCCTGTTGTTATGTGCCTTCCAGGCGCCTGCGACGCATGTTGTTGTTGTGCTATGTGCCGTGGAGTCGCTTGCGACTCATAGCGACCCTATGTACAACAGCCCTAAACTCCGCTCTGTCCTGTGCCAATCACACTGTCTCTGACACTCCTATCCTGATTACCTCAGTCACTGAATCAATCCACCTCATAGAGGGCCTTCCTCTCCTGCGCTGTCCCCCTCTACCCTCCCAAGCATGATGTCCCTCTCTAAGGACCGGTCTCTCCTCACAACATGTCCAAAGTATGTTAGACGGAGCCTCAGAATCGTTGCCTCCAAGGAGCCACCCGGTTTAACCCTTTCCAGGACAAATCTGTTTGTTTTCCTAGCAGTCCATGGTATTCTCAATACTCTTCTCAAGCACCACAGCTCAAAGGCATCAATTCTCCTTCTATCCTCCTTGGTCATTATCCAACTCTCTGATGCATAACAAGTGATTGCGAAGACCATGGCCTGTATCAGATGCACCTTAGTCTCCAGAGAGACACCATTGCTCTTCAGTACTTTGGAGAGGTCCCTAACAGCGACGCATAGCAACCCTATATACAATAGCTGTGAACCTTGTCTTATCCTGAGCCAATCTCACTGTCTCTGACACACCTACTCCCACTATCCAGTTACTATGTCAATCCATATCATCTGGGGTCTTCCTCCCCTGCCTGGTCTCTCCACCTTTCCAAGCATGATATCCCTCCAAGGACTTGTGGCAACATGTCCAAAGTATGTGATACAGAGTTTTCAAATCCTTGCCTCCAAGGAGAAACTCAGTTTCACCCTCTCTAGGACAGACCTGTTTGTTCCCTTGGCAGTCCATAGTATGTCCAATACTCTTCTCCAGAACCACAATTCAAAGGCATCAAATCTTCTTCTATCATCCTGCATCACTGTCCCCCTCTCTGATGCATAGCAAGTAACTGCAAATAACCATGGCTTGGATCTGGCACACCTTGGTCTCTAGACTGACATCGTTGTTCTTCAGTACTCTGGAGAGGTCCCTGACAACAGATTTTCCCCAATGCAATTAATCTTTTATATCCTGACTGCTGGTGCCAAGAGTGTTTATTATGGAGCCAAACAAGCTAAAAATTGTTAACAATCTCAATCTCTTCTCCATCTGCCATGAAGCTGCCAATTGGCCCATTGATGAGAATTTTGTCTTCTTGATGTAGCTTTAACCCATACTGAAGATTACAGTCTTTGATCTTCTGCAGCAAACTCCTCGGCTCCTCCTAAGTTTCAGCAAGCAAGGTTGTATCATTTGCATAGCACAAATTGTTCATGAGTCTTCCTCCAATCCTAATGCCATATTCCTCCTCATAAAATCCAGCCTCCTGAATGATTCCACATTTAGATAGAAAAGGTATAGAGATAGGATGCATCCCTGCTGTACTCTTTTCTTGATTTTGAGCCATGCAGAGTTTCCTTGTTCTGTTCTGATGACTGCTTCTGTTCCAAGTATAGGTTTCACATGAGGATAATTAAGTGTTCTGAGATTCCCATTCTTCTCAAGGTTAGCCACAATTTGTTGTGATCCACATAGTCAAATGCCTTTGCATAGCTTAGCAAAGCATTAAGCTTAGCTTAATTAGTAAATAAAGTCTGCCTTATGATTATGCTCTTATCAGAACCATATCTATATTAGATCAAAGTTAATGACTGGGAGAATTAGATAAAACCTTCCCAAGCAGTAAATTTAAGTTACTAGGAGAGGAACAACTCAGAAAAGGAGGGTGAGAAAAGTTGCAGAAGTAAATATACATATATTATTAATATCACTGAGTTGTATATGTAGAAAAATTATTTGGTGTATTTTTTGCTGCATATATTCTCAACAACAAAATAACATTCTAAACTCTCCTCTGGTTGTTTTTTTTTTACCATTCATCCAACTATTGACCAAGTATTTATAATACCAGGCACTATTTTGTTCTATTGTTGTTGTTGATTGCCTTCAAGTCAAGCACGACTCATAGCGACCCAATGAACAAAAGGCTTGAAGCCCCTCTGAAACCATCGACATTTATCAAAGTTCATAGACTTTTTGGAGGCATGTTATTTAGGAACTGATGCCACTCCTGCTTCCAATTCCATAAAAATCATTCTTTGCATATCACAGTCTCCTAATATATATGCTGCTTATATATGTGGCTTGTTATTGTTGTAAATTCTCTTTTTAAAAAAACTGCTATTCCAAGGTAGCTATTCCACACACCTCAATCTTATGACCTCATGATAATCTGTGCTTTCTGTACTTTATCCTTTTTAATTCTCATAACAAGCTTTCTAGGTGAGGGAACTACTAGCCTAATTTTATTGAACTCAGGTTAACTATCCTGGGTCACTTATCATGTAGTAGAATGTGGACTCACTGACATTTGAGTCCAATAAGTCCCATGTTTTAGACGAATATTCATAAGATTGTTATGAATCATAGTCAACTCATTGATTGGTACCTAACAATAACAACATGAAGGAGATTTCTTTTTCAGTGCATACAAGGAGTAGAGAGAGGGTATTAACTGTTCTCAATGTAAGGAGTGCACATGGGTGTTGCTAACAGTTAGGTGCTGGGCTGTTAACCCAACAATAAAAAAGTCTATCTTGAAAAACGAACCAAAATAGAAGTGGAACACAATTCCACTCTGAGCCACACGGCATCTCCATAAATCAGAGTGAATCAGAACTACTGGTTTACTGTCCACCAGCTACTCACCAACTACCTCCATTAACACACACTTCCAAGTAAAAGCAGTGTGCTTACAAGGCCTCTGGTTCCTTTTTCCACACCAAATGCCACTCTTAAGCCTCTCCTTCCTAGAAATGCTTGGACTTCCTCTGCTTCTGATCCAGGTCTAAATCTAAAGCATTTGTATTAGCCACTATGTTATTCTACTTGCTACAGTTGAAGATGGTGAGGTTTGTAGGCAGTTGCACTGCTAACCCAAAGGTAGCACCTCTTCAGTGGTTTGACTCTCACAAAGACTACAGCCTTCCGTATGGGCCACATCTCAACATCAAGGAAGCAAAAGTCCTCACCACTGGGCCAATAGGCAAATCATAATAGATTAAAAAAAAAAAAAGATGGAAGTTATCAACGACTTCTGTTTACTTGAATCAATAACATGCATGACAGCAGTAGTCAGGAAATCAAAACATGTTACATTGTCCAAAGTGCTAAAGATGAGGAAGTCCATAGAATGATCAAGGCCTTTGAACTGGAGTGTGGAGAAGAGTGTTGAATATCACATGGACTGCCACAAGAATAAACAGATCTGTCTTGGAGGAAGTATGACAGTGCTCCTTAGAGGCAAGGAGGGTGAAATTTTGTTTCACGGACTTTGAGTATTTTTTCAGGAGGAGCCAATCCTTTGGGAAAGAAGAATGCTGGGAAAAGTAGAAAGTCGGCAAAAGAGAGGCTGACTCTCGAAATAGATTGACACAGTGACTGTAACAGTAGGTTAGTGTATGGCAGAGATTGTGAGGAGGAAGCAGGGGAGGGCACGTTTCAGATCTATTGTTCATAGGGTTGTTAGGAGTCCTGGTCAACTTGATGGTACCAAACAATAACAACATGAAGGAGACTGATTTTCAGTGAATGCATCTCATGTGCAACAATTACTCCTTTGTCAGAGAAGCCTTGTGTGGTGCTATAATGTTGATAGATTTTAGCAGAACCCCCAGGCAAGAAAGGCTTGGCAATCTGCTTCCAAAAGCCAGTCAATGAAACCCCTAAGGGAATTGCAGTGGTCCAATCTACAACCAATTATGGCGATGGTGTAGAACTGGGCAGTGATTTGTTTCATTGCATGTGAGTCTGAAGCTGACTCCACAACACCTAGCAACATCCAACAAGCACCACCTATACTTGACGTCATCTGAGTCTCATAAAACCCTCAGAACACTGAGAAAATTAGAACTGAGACACAAACGGAGGTTCGTATACCAAAGTTCATAGCAGCATTATTCACCATCACAAGAGCATGGAAACAACCCATATGTCTAATCACAATCGAATGGATTGCGAAATTGTACATTCACAGGATGGAATATTATGCAGCACGCAGGAGCAATGATTTTGAAAATCACTACCTAACTTGGGAGGGACTGGAGAGCTTTATGCTAAGTGAATTAACTCAGTCCCATAAGGACAAATTAAAAGACCATTATTGTAGAAATAGAAAAGTAACTAGTAAAATGTGTATGAGGATCCAAGGGAATCAGATGTGCAGGGGGGGTAATCATAGGGTCGCACAATTTGATGGGTAGAGGGAGGATGGGTAAAGGAAATGGGAAAGATCTGGTGTGAAAAACAATGTATACAAACTTTGTAAGCAAACTAGAATAAAATAAACTTTTCTTTAAGGAAACAAATAAATAAAAACCAAGTTAAAAAAAAAAACAACCCCTTGGAACAATAGGTAAAGTTCATATTTCCACTGTACAAATAAAAAAGCCAAACACATTGTCCACACTTTTATCTAGGAAGTGGTAGGGTTGGCATCTGAACTGAAATTCTGTGGGCTTTGAAGTCTACCTGTGATCAGGTTCCTTGTGATTCTA